CTTTAATGCAAATATTTGTATCCCAAACTTTCAAAGGGATGCTTGTCTAAGCTTAAAGGAGCCATAATTTTAAGAGAGACTTTTTTTTTTTTTAAGATAAAGATTTCAACAGAACAGAACTAGACTGTCTAGACTTCTGTTAAAAATCAGACTTTTAGAAAATGGATCCACAAAACTGAAATAAGGCTGCTACATTGTTTAATTGGATCGTAAATTTAAAAAAAATATGTAAGTTAATTTTTGCTTTCTTGCTTACTAAAAATAAGTTTAAATGGGTATTTTAACCTCAAATATATTCTTTAAGCCAGCATTAAATCTAAGATTACATTTAGTCTTCAGTGTTATTAATCAATTTTAATTTTTAATATCATTCATTCACTTACACATTCATTCAAGAAATATTTGTTGAGGACTGTGCTTGTTTCGGTATTCATACTCCCTCTTTTAAAAGCTCTGATTTTTGGCTGGGTATATGGATGATGGAATAAAGACCAGCATCTGGGGGGCAACCAGAAATGTTATCCTTAAAAAGCAGCTGGTCTGTATTCTTTGCCCAGTGTTCTCTTCCTCCTCCACCCTGCAGTTCGGAATGTGATTCTAATGAAGGGGCCTATCTCTTGCACACAAAGACCTACAACCTAGGAATGAAAGAGCATGTATGCTTGAAGACACTGTGGATCAGAGTCACCACAATGGCCCTAGACTGCCCAACTCAACACTTTTATGCAAGAGAAAAAATAAAGTCTTATCTTTCAAAGTTACTGTTATCTGGGGATTTTATAATGAAACCTAGTCCTAGCTGATATGAGCACAGTTATAAGATATTAAGTGTTAAAATAAATACAAGATGAGTAAGGCAGAGTTCCTGCACACAATCAGGTTAAAATTTAGCAATGAATACTGAAGTATAAAGAGCACCAGAATGGATGATGATAGTTTTGCCTGTTTGTTATGTTTTCAAACAAACTCCCTTCTTCTATTAACAACCACTACTTTCCTTTGGATAAACTCTTCTCTCATATCATGAGATCAAATTTTAATTCCTGTAGCCCCATTCCTGAGGCATCTTCAGTATTTGGGGAGGTGGGACACGGAGGGGTGGGGGCAGTAAAAATGTAATGCAAGCCTGTCCAATTATAGTACTAGCCATCGTCCTAGACAAGAAAAAGCTAAAGTTCATCACCACCAAACCAGTGTTATAAGAAATAGTAAAGGGACTTAAGAAAAAATATGAATAATTAAATGGCAATAACTGCATATCTGTTAACAATTACTTTAAATGTAATGGATTAAATGCTCCAATCAAAAGACATAGGATGGCTAAATGAATAAGAACATAAGACCCTTACATATGCTACCTACAAGGGACTCACTTCAGATCAAAAGACACATATAGACTGAAAATAAAGGGATGGAAAAAGATATCTCATGAAAATGAAAAAGAAAAAAGAAAGCTGGAATAGCATTACTGATACCAGACAAAATGGACTTTAAAACAAAGGCTATAACAAGAGACAAAGGACCCAGAAATTCCCCTTATCTTCAAAACACTAATTTGAAGAGACATATGCATCCATATGTTCATTGCAGCATTGTTTGCAATGGCCACGACATGGAAGCAATCTAAGTGTCCATCAATGGATGAACGGATAAAATTATACATATATACAATGGAATACTGCTCAGCCACAAAAAAGAGTGAAATTTTGCCATCTGCAGCAACATGAACAGATCTAGAGGGTACTGTGCTGAGTGAAATGGGTCAGAGAGAGAAGTATCATGTGGTTTCACTTTATATGTGGAATCTTAAAAACAAAATAAACAGAAACAAAAAATCAGGTACTGTAGTTTAATAAAGAGATAATCATAATCTGAAGTAATGAATATAGTATTTTCTTTTAATAAAAAAACAACTAACACTAAAAAGAAGTACTAGCCATTGTAACTGATTCAGGAATGAGCATATGTATTAAACACAGTCATTTAGAATCTAGCTGTGTTAACAAGATATAACAACAAGATGAATAACAAAACAACCCACAACTCAATGCTTACAACAAACATCTATCATGGGTCTATAGGTCAGCTGGGCCTACCCAGCTTTAGGTTACAGATTGGACCCAGGTCTGCTCCACATGTCTCTCGTCCCTCTTAGACCAGAATGGACCTTGAAGGATGGACTGAAAAAAAACTAGATTAAAACCAAAAAGAACTGCAAAGAACCTCTTGTTTGGTGAATGAAGGATCCATTGACAAAAACAAAAAAAAAGCAAGGGATTGTAGGCAAGATGGAATAAGTAGCAGAACGTCTGTTCAAAGTTAGAAAACAAGGCAAAATAAATATTTATTTTCAGACACTGTAACACAGACAAAGCAGAAATGTGATCCTAAGTCCTAAGTAGAAAGGAAACAAATGAGAAAAATAGAGAACAAATTGCAAGGTGGTAGATTTAAACCCAGCTATATAAATAATTACATTAATTATAAATGGATTAAACATACTGATTAAAAAACAGATCGTCAGACTGGGTTAAAAAAGCAAGACATAACTATGTTGCCTACAAAAAACATTAATATAAAGTCAGAGCAGGTTAAAAACAAAAAGGGGAAAAGATACACATGGAAACACTCATCATAAAAAAGCAGGAGCGGCTATATTAACATTGAATAAAGTAGATTTCAGGAGAAGAAATATTACCTGAGATTAAAAAAAAAGAAAAAAAAGAGTGCAGTGTTCATCAAGACATAACAGTCCTAACTGGAAAACCACTTGGGAAAGCAGTTTGGCAATTTCTTTTAAAAGTAAATATAAACTTACCATATGATGAGCAATTCTATTCCTAGGTATTTATTTACAAGAAAAAAAGAAAACATAAGTATACAAAAAGACTTTTAAATGAATATCCATAGCAGCTTTAGGATAGCAGTGCCAAAACTACAAACTCAAATTGTGAAATATTATTCAGCAATATAAAGGAATTACCATTACAAAACATCATTGGGAATCTCAAAAACATGCTAAATGAGAACAGCCAATCACAAAAAATACCTATCATTTAATTCCAAGTACACGAAGTTCTAGAACAGTAAAACTTGTTTTTAGTGATATAAGTTAGATGGGTGGGCTCGACTGGGAGGAGGCATAAGGGAATTGCAAGGTTGTAAAAATATTCTCTATCTTTTTTGAGGCTGTGGTTACACAAGTATATGCATTTCTCAAAATTCGTTAACTGTACTTTTAAAATGGGAAAATTTTATTTTTGTAAATTATACCTCAATATGTTGACTTTTTTTTAAAAAAAGGGAAGAGTTTTAAGGAGAGTAGAGTTAAATGCCATAGAGATAAATCAGAATTAAAAAGTACTTGTTTCGCTAGAAGGAAATTGTGAGCCTTTAGAAAGCACTTTTGTTGAAAAAAAATGAGTAGAATCCAAGATGCAAGGCATTTTAGTCATATTTACCTAGTATGAGAAATTCAAACAGAAAACGCGTAAACTTTTCTATTTCAATTAGTGTTTCCTCTACCTTTGATGTGCATAGGAATCACCTGGAGGTCCTTTAAAATGCAGGTTCTGATTCAGAAAGTCTTGAGTGAGAGTTGATATTCTACATTTCTAACACGATAACAAGTGATGTGGATATTGCTGTTTCATATACCACACTTTAAGTATCAAGAGCATTGATGGTTTATATCCAGGAACAATTTGGTCTAAAATTCCCAAGATCTACGATATCCATTCCTACCATTAGTCACACGTAACTTAGACCCCTTCCCATTTGTGAATATAATCAGTGCAGGCGCCTATGCTGCCCTGGAAAATAACATTAATTTTACATCAGCAGCCTTGGGTTCAAGTCCCAGCTCTGTTTCTATCCAATTAATAATTTGGGTTATCACTCCGACGCTGCAAAATGAGAAAACTGTTCTTCTTTCTAGGCTATTGTAAGGGTTACAATAGAAAATGTAAGTGAAAGTAATTGCAGGAACTATAACCTAAAAAAAAAAAAATGACTTGAAATGTCAAGCAAAGTGAGCAAAACAAGATTTTACGTACCGGTTTTTAAAAGGAGCGGGATCTAAAATTAGAGGTGGGGCTCAGGGATTATCCCTGTGGGCGTGCAAGGAATGTGCCATATTATTGAGGGGCGCTCCACTTTAAAATTAATACGTAAAATATAAGCATCTGTATTTAATATTACCCCTAAACTATGAAACTCGAAATATGAACTTTTCCTTCATTATATACTTCCACTGGCACCTAACTCAAACTTCAGTAATACTATTTTGCTTCAGTCTACTAATTTCAAACAAAGTCCTACCCACGCAGCTCTGTCCCTTTCTCGCATCCACTCGTCACTTTTCTGCCCCCGCACTCTACGGCCCCCGCCCCGGGGCAGTAGTTTCCACTACCACGAAGGGAGAGGTGGTAACGGACTCCTCTATCTTCCTGCCTGAGGTGGGGGCGTAGGAAGAGCCACATTCCAGAAAACGGTAAGAGACCCCGGCCAAGAGACGCAGATGCCCAAGAAAATCCGAGTTGAGGACGTGGCGTCGGGGGAGGGGGGAAGACGCGGAGCCCCCAGCTGCGGTGCGAGCGCGCGACTTTGCTCCCCGTCGCGCCGCCACCCCCAGGGCCTTCAGGGATGGCACGGGCGGGAGGGGGCGGGGCCGGCGCGCGGCAGCCGCCTTCGCGGCGGCCGGAAACAATAGTGCAGGAGCCCGAGCCTCGCAGAAGGGCTGCGGCGGCGCGCGGAGCTGGACGGTAAAGCCCCTGCGCCCTCGTCCCTGACCCACCTGCGTCGCGGCCCCCGGCCTCCGGCCCCGCGGCCTTTGCGCTCCTCGGCCCGCGGCCCCCCGTGCTGCTCCGCTTGCGACGCCCCGACGGACGCACGGAGCGACGGGCGGCACCCCGA